AAAAAAATAATAATAATTTGAGTGGGGAGGAAACACAGTTCTTGTACAGGTGAATAGCAGAGAAATGGACAAAATAGACTTGCTTTGCCTCCATTAAACAAACAACAGCTAAAGGCAACAAAATTTGGTGGCAAGTTAACATCTTCAATGCATAACCTAAAACCAGACACGTGATCCTTTTTTAGGCCAAAATTTTGAGTTGATTAGGGAGCAAAACCTACTAATTGTGGGGCCTATGTATTTGCAGTGGGGTGGCCATTGGGACAATCTGGGTCTCTTGGTGTTTCTGTGACATTTCTTAACTGTCATGTTCTGTCCAATCTCCTCATTTTCTTTATAAGCTGCCTCTGCCTTCATTCCAAAATCCACCAATTTCCACAGCTGATTGTTAAGAGAGTGTTACTGTTTTCTTTCAGTCATGTCTAATCATAGATCAAGAGCCTCAAAAATCACAGAAGAGCAGCTTAATGATCTCATTTTAAAACTTCAAACATTGCTTCCCCAGCTGAATCAGGGCAGCAACTCCAGGGTAGAGTCTCTTGTATTCGCTTCCTCCTCTTCTTCATGCCTATTTGACCTGACTTCGTCCTTTTTTGGTACTAAAGACTGCAGCTCTAAATGTGTAGTTTAGAACACTGTTAACTCTCTATGACCAGAGCACATGACCAATGGTTTTGGCCTAACTTCTAAATTCGTTTCTTTTCTAGAACTGCCTAGCTGCAGTTCTTCCTCTTGTATGTGTTTAGAGCGCATTTGTTTCTGCTATTGAAGTGCTGACAATGAATAATGTATATACGAACAAAAACAAATGTGTAGTTATCTTATGAAGTTATGAAGTACGATTTTTGTTAATGCAGGTATCGGTATCAAGAGTTTTGAAGGAAACATGCAATCACATTAGGAGGTTGCAGAGGGAGGTAGATGACTTAAGTGATAGACTTTCTCAACTCCTAGCTTCTGTGGACACAGATGGAGTTGAAGCAGAAATACTCAGGAATTTGCTGCAGCAGTAGAAGTATCTCTTTTCTTCATTATTATGCCTGTGAGTCTGGAATTACATACTAGACAAGAATGATATATATACATAAGTATATGTTTATATGTTTCTTCTTCCTTCCATCCAACCATCTTCGTTTGTTCCTGAATTTTACTTAGTGTGAGCATAAACTATATACATTTTCTATGTATCTGTCCTATTCTTCTTTGTTTGCCCATGAGTTGGTATTCGGACCCAACATTACGCTTGAAAATATGTTGCCCCAGATTAATTTTTCTCTATTGTTTTCTCAATTTAATTGCAAAGTCAATGATTAGCGAGCAGGAAAAAGATATTGGAAGCAGAGACAAAAAAACTATTTAAGTATATATTAATGTAACAACCACTATCATGAGCAACGCAACAGTGGATGTAACATGAAAGACAGATGTCTTTGATGTGTCGAATTGCGAAGAAAAAACAAACCTTAACTGATAGATTTTAGTTGAAAAGAAGTTGTTGGCTTCATTGATAAACTTTCCTGATTAATTAGCTTATTTTCCGCAACATGACAATCCAAAATTTGTCTACAAATATATGGTCATGCAAAAGAAATTGGTAACTGTTTAACCAATGGGATTTTCTTTTTCATTTTCTATTTAATGGCGTTGGCGGGGGATAAAGTTGAAATCACCAATCTAATTAGTAATTACTGAATTAAGTGCACTGCTTCAAGGCTTTGAATGAAGAAGCAGAAAGAACATACTTATCTGCAGCTGAGTACGTTGGAATTAGTTGCTTGATATTATATTTGTTTGAACCCTAGATTAAATTACAAGTTTAAATTACACTTGGATCTCAATACCCAACAATTATAAGTTCACCCTTAAAGTGTAAGGGTCACCAAGTCTAAGGGTTGAGGTTTTAGTCCGAGTCCCCTCCCTTTGAATTGTAAACTTATTTAAAAAAATATATATAAGTTTTAAATTGGTGTATACCAGTTCCAGTATTCTCTTGTTCTAATTTGCTCACAACAGTAAATATAGAGAGACAATATACAGAGTTTTTTTTATTAATTTTTTAATATTTAATAATTATATTAAATCTCTAAATAATTTTAAATTAAATAATATTAAATCTCATAAAAAAATTTCTATTAATATTTTTTTCTCGATTTACAAAATTAAAAATTAAAAATTTATTTAAAACAAATCAAATATTTTTTCACTCAATCAATAAGTAATTGATTATACAGAGTTTATTACTCGTATGAAAAACGTCAATGTTTATTAATTTACCTCACAAATTGGTCAAAAGATACGAGATCACGAAAATGCAAAATACAGACTGTGTTCTGAACCAAAAAAGATCTGAAATTCAATTACAGAATCCTGACATTTTCTAGTTTCCTTTAACCGAGACACTTTATTCATTTCCTAACAGTAGGCCCAGTTTATTATTATTATTTTTTTAACATTAGTAAATGAGAGAAGGATTACACCATTAGAATTCGAACCATGGTAACTCTTTTTTTTTTTTTTTATGGTACCATGGTAACATCTATGGTCTAAGACACTCCGTATGATTGCAGCCACGGCTGTGAATCCAATATGCCAGAATCCTCAAATTGTCCCTTAAAAAATATGAGTAGAGACTGATTCAATTTTTAAAAAAATAAAAAGGTATTTTACACTTTAAAATTATTAATTGACTCAAATCACTCAATATTTAATTATTGATGTTATATTACATCAGCTTTTCGGGTTAATTATGTGCTGAGGTGGATTTTTTAAACATACTGGAGCTATTTTGATGACCTGGATGCTGACTTGGTCATATTTTTGCTCATTTTAATATTATTTGGTACTTTTTACCATTTTTTATATTTATTACCAAAATTTAATATAAAAAATAAAATTACGAAACTGCTTTCAACTTCTTCTTCCCTCAAGTTCCAAACCCTAACTCCCCCTCTTCCCCTGATTCTCTCTTCTCTTCTTTCACTAGATTCTTGATCCTGGCAGGAATATGGCACGATCAAGGAGAGAGCTCATTGTTGGTAGATCGGGCCTTGGGCTCATTGTTGGTGTTTCAATTAACCAGGGATTTGAAGCCCAATTTATCGAGTAACCATTGTTGAATCTGCAGAAAACCAACAGATTGGCCATGCTTGGTGACTTCCTCATCAAGAACCACAATATTATTCCTAAGGGTGTTACAGTGTGATTTAGTTCGGATTTTAATATTTTTTAAATTAATTTAATTTAATCGGTTAATAAAATTTTTAAATCAATCTAATTCATTATTATATGATAATCAAACCAATCCAACTTAAATCGGATTGATGTAGTTTAGTCGGATTGATCAGTTTTTAACATTATTAAATATATAAGATAATATAAAAATATTTTAACATAAAATAGAAAGTATAACCATAAAACACATTAGCATACAAATCAGTAAAAATATAATAAAAAGTACAAATTATAAATGAGTTCTTATACTTCTTTACATTTGTAAAAATTGAAAAGATCTGAAAATTCTTCTTAGTTACATTACTAGAGGCACCAAGAACAATAAAAGATGACTTGAAGTTTTTAGCATAACGTAAATAATTCTTAAAATTTAAAATTAGTTTTTTTTAATGCACTAATAATTTAATCTCATCTTCTAAATCATGTTAAAAGTAAATAAAATTTACCATGAATATCACTAAAATTGATTAGAAGCATTCATAATCAAAATTTAAAACTTTTGAACTAAATGTCCAAAAATAATAGAATATCAAAACTAATTTTATTATATAGTTTTAAGACTTTTAGAATGATACTTATTTAAAACTTAGTTAAGAGAATTATAAAATTATTTTAAGAATAAATTAGAAATTTAGGATTCTAAGAATAAAGGCGTAAACTAGTTCTGATGTGGTAGAGTTGCAGATAAATTAGAAATTTAAAATTAAGGTTAGAGTGCATTATTAAAATGGAAAAATAACTTAGGAAATATGAAAATGTTTTATTTTTATTTTTTAATTAAGTTAATGAAGTTATTATCTTGTAAAATAATAATAAAAAATTTTAAATATTACAAAAAATATATTATATTATTTAATTAAGTTATTTTGTAATTAGATTTTATTTTGTAATTGGACAATTTGAGCAGTTTAAAGATAAAATCACAAACCAAATCAATTATATCGGTTTTTAAATTTTACAATTCAAACCAACCTAATTTTATATTAATTTTGGTCAATTTTTTATTAGATTTGATCAATTTAGATCGAATCAGTCAGATTGGATCGGATACGAACATCCTTAATTATTGCAATCCCAGATGTCTCCCACCGTGGACCCACTGTGAATCCAAATCTGAATTTTGGGTATATTCAATGGACACTAAAGAAGAGAAAGAAGGAAGAAGAGCAGGGAAAGGAAGAAAGAAGAG